CAAATTCACTTTCTCCTCTACTCTTGGGCCCACATTGTGCCTTCACTGAAGCCTGAATTGCCCATAGAATAGAAGAAGAAGCATAGAAGCTCGGATTCACTGAATTGTTGAATTTTTGTCACTTTTTTCCGATTCATTGCCGCCAATCCGATTTGGCCTCGTTCGCGACTTCCTGCCCATCATAAATTCTCCTGACCCACTTGGACTTCAAAGGTGATTTGGTCAGCTTGCGTAACCGGTTGCACCTCTTGAAGATGGCTGGAAAATTTATGCTGAAAAAGTCTCTCGTTTATTTCCCCACTAAAGGAAAATGACTTTTGCTTTTATACTTTGGAACCGCTATGGGTTTGGTTCGTTTTCTAGCTGCAATTTCCTTTCACCAGCGAGCTCACTGTTCACTTGCGCAGCAACACTCAGTATATCCCTTCTCCACAAGCTCCGGTTCTTGCAAGAGTTGAATTTTCGATCAGCGGCAGTTGAAATGTCGCGAGACGCACTTCGGTCCTTCCAGTCTTAGCTAATTGCTTCAGCAACTAACATGGTAGCGTTTCTTCTGGTCTAACTTTCCACTGGTCTACTTTCGGGCCGAATAACCGAGCAATTGTTGTGCGCGATCGAAGAATAAGCGTGAAGATGTGCGCCCTCAATTTGAAGCACCAGCATCCATTCATTGGCGGGCTGAAGCACTACCCCGATGGGAAGAAGAAGGATGTGCAGAAAATTAAGGCCTGGTAAGCGTTTGCTGTGAACGTTTGCCGAAAGGAAAAACTCACTTTCTCTGCAGTTGCAAAAGAACCTTGTGGATGAACATCGGATGATCTTTGATCTCAGTACCGAACTTCCTCAGGTGAAAGTTGAATAGCTTAAAACGCGCCCGCTGCAGCCCACTTGGGCAATTGTTGCCAACATGTTAATGCTTAATGAGCTTTAATAATAATAAAAAAGCAAAAGTTGAGCACTTAAAGCTATTAGCGCCGCGGACTTTCATTTCGGAGGTAAACAATCGCTTGATGGCTGGTTCAGGGAGATATCAAAACAGATAAACTTTCGTCGTTCGGTAGAATTTCTTCCTGACGTTTCGCAAGCACGAGTGGCTTGCATCTTCAGAAGTGGTTTGCTTGAACGCTTACACTGTTCTCATC